TCCAAGTTATCATGTAAATGGGATCAGAGCACATGTGGCTCCTGCCAGTTAGCATGAAGCACTGAAGACTCACCAAAGCTGCTGCATCACCAGTTCCCTTCATCTCAACATTTCTGAGCATTCCAAGGAATGGACCCACCAGTGTGTGAAGCCATTCCCTGGGTGAAGAACATCCAGAGTGTTCACAGTTTTGGGTGATTAAGAGTAAAACCTCACAGAATCATTTTTAACGGCTGCATAATATTCCACAGTATGAACACCGCAACATTTACCCACCAGCTCTTGGTCGCTCAGTAATAAGGTGGTTCTCAGCTTTTACTTTTACACACATAAGCTTCTTGTCAGGGTCTCCCTCTCCCTGAAGGTTCCCCACCCTCTAGAGCAGAGTCTCAAGCTTGGCCACATCAGTCACTGGAGAGATTTTAAAACGCCCATGTTGGCCGGGTGCCGTGGCTCATGCCTATAATCCCAGCACTTTGGGAGGCTCCGATGGGAGGACTGCTTGAGGCCAGGAGTTTGAGACCTGCCTGGACAGTATAGTAAGATCTCTGCCTCTACAAAAAATAATCTTAAAAAATTAGCCAGGTGCGGCGGCACATGCCTGTAGACCCAGCCACTCAGGGTACCACTTGAGCCCAAGAACCAAGAATGATTATACTACTGCACTCCAGCCTGGGTCACAGAGCAAGACCTTGTCCCTAATAATAATAAAATGCCAATGCCCAAGCCATATCCAGGCCAATTAAACTGGACTGTTTGAGGAGGGCCTGGACAAAAATATTATCTGGAGCTCTTAGGTGTACCCCGCTCTACTGTACTCTGGAGAGGGGATGGTCTGGGCCTGGGGGTGGCCACTGCTGCCCCTCAGCCATCACTTTCCCTCCCCAGACCCACTCCTCACTGCCTTCCCACAGTGACCGCCACAGACCAGTATGGCGAAACCAGGCTCACTCCTGGAAACCCAAAGACAATTTCCAATGTGCAGGCGATAATCTAACCATCTTTCCAGTGGGATCTTTTCCATAGCTCAAGGGCCACCCTCTGAAAAAGGTAACTCCTTCAAGGTGCCTCTTGGACACACACAAGTCCTAACCTGCCCTAGGGACTATGTCTCTTGCTTAAGCTGCAAAAGCTACCTCCAGCCCCGGGAGTATTCTTGGCCCTAGTATGGCTCCCCCTGTGCCCCGCCCCCATCTTCCATCCAGTGGGACACCCTCCCTCCTCCCTTCTCCAGCAGGTATACCCTCAACATCCTCAAGTGGGGATCCCTCCCTATCCATCCTTCAGCAAGGACACACCTTTCTCAATGTTCTCCAATGGAGACATGGTTGTAGCAGATAAAGTTTCATAATTGCAGGGCCAGACAAGCAAGGAAGATGAATGATAATTCTCAAAACCACCTCCCCCAGAATTCAGAGCCTAGGGTTTTTTGTTTTGTTTTGTTTTTTGTTTTTTGAGATAGTTTCTCTCTTACTGCCCAGGCTGGAGTGCAATGGATCTTGGCTCATGGTAACCTCCACTTCCCGGGTTCAAGCGATCCTCCTGCCTCAGCTTCCTGAGTAGCTGGGATTACAGGCATGTGCCACCACATCTGGCTAATTTTGCATTTTTAGTAGAGACGGGGTTTCTCCATGTTGGTCAGGCTAGTCTCGAACTCCCAACCTCAGGTGATTCACCTCCCTAAGCCTCCCAAAGCACTGGGATTACAGGTGTGAGCCACCATGCCTGGCCAAGCCCAGGGTTTTTAAGGGTGCTTTGGCAGGCAGGGAACTGGGGAGCTGAGACAATTGATTGGCAGAGGATGAAATCACAGAGGTGTCAAAACCATCTTCAAGCAGCTGAGTCAGTTTCTTGGTGTGGGTCACTGGCCCAGGTGGTGTCGCTTGGACTGATAAAATTCTAAATCTGGAAAATATCTCAAAGTTCTTTAGGTTTCATAATACTGATTTTTTTTTTTTTTTTTTAGGCGGAGTCATGCTCTGTCTCCCAGGCTTGAGTGCAGTGGAGCAATCTTGGCTCTCTGCAACCTCCATTTCCTGGGTTCAAGCGATTCTCCTGTCTCAGCCTCCCGAGTAGCTGGGATTACAGTCATGTGTCACCATGGCCAGTTAATTTTTTTGCATTTTTAGGGAGATGGGGTTTTACTATGTTGGCCAGGCTGTTCTCAAACTCCTGACCTCCAGTGATCCACCTGCCTTGGCCTCCCAAAGTGCTGGGATTACAGGTGTGAGCCACCGTGCCCAGCCTTTATATGAGCAGCTGGAGAAATTAGAAATCTTGCCATTTCTGACTATGTAACTCCAGGGTAGTAAGCACTATAGCAAAGCAAGCTAAGTGAGCAATGGCAGGTTGCTGTTTATGCCCTTTCTTCAGCAAAGTTCAGGCCCCATCACAATTCTAACATTGTCTTATGAATGTGTTTTCAATCTCTGAACAAGGAGGGGGTCAGTTTTCCTTGCCTTTAATTATAAACTAAATTCCTGGCAGGACGTGGTGGCTCAGGCCTGTAATCCAAGCACTTTGGAGGCCAAGGCGGGCGGATCGCTTGAGGTCAGGAGTTCAAGACCAGCCTGACCAACATGGTGAAACCCTGTCTTTAAATATATGTGTGTGTGTGTGTGTGTGTGTATATACATATATATATATATATATATATATATATATATATATATATATACATATATATATAAAAGAAGAAGAATAAAAACTGAATTCCTCTCATAGTTATGTTGGCCTCTGCACTACAAGAAGTAAAAATAAAAAAAAAACAAAAACAATTTAGCCTGTGAGGTTAGAAGTAAGAGGGAGTCAGTTATGTTAGATTTCTCTTATGACTTATATTTTGCAAAGGTAGTTTCACCTCCACGGCAGGCCACCTCTCCCTGGGTAAAGGGCCCATCCTCGTCCTGCATAGCAGGCAAGTCCCTCTCTCTCCCCACCTCCTTACCCGATTTTGCCCCCTCTGACCCATCTTCATGACTCTTTCGACCCTATGTTGTCCTAGCAGACACTTTGCAGCAACCACTCAGAAGGCCTGGCTGATTTCTAAGCCAGGTGGTTTCATCCAGTGTCAGTTGGATGAGATTCCTTGCACAAATAGTTTTGCACAGTTGCCCTGTGTTTTAGGTACTCAGGTCTGATAGACTATTTAAAACTGCCTCTGCCTTCCTGGGAGAGAACAAGGGTTTCAAGGGGAGCCCAGGTGCTCTGGCCAGACAGAGGACATTAAGAGGAATGGAAATGGTTTTAGGTGATAGACGGCTAGAGGAATCTGCCCGGGGATATTCCAGCAGAGCCTCCTCATTGAGGAGGGTAGAAGCCAGATCCACAGATGAAGAACATGGGCTCTGACCCTGAGAGCCTGCCCATCCCTGCTGGCACAAGGGGAGGGTGGGGAGAGAGAGACCACATGCAGGCCTCCTGGCTTCTGTGAGTGGGTTCTGAGGCCCAGGAAGCTCTACAGAGCTGAAGAGGTAGATAAATTAGGAGGCTGGGAGATGCCATGTGCTCCGCTCCCCTCAGATCTGTGCTGTGAGTGCAGAGATGGGCAAGAGCCAGCCCACTAATGATGTCAGAGAGGGGCCAAAGAAAAAGGATTGGTGCTCAGGGTGTGTGGGGCTCAAGACTGAGGACCACAGGGCAGTGATGAGGAGAGGCATGAGAAAGGGCGTTGCATCTGATCTGGCCTGTCCCACCGGTTAGGCTGAGCAGTGCCACACTGCTGTAACAGAGATTACAAATGGGGTATATCTAAATAAGACAGACAGAAGACTTGATATTGTCAAGACATCAGTTTTTCCCAGCTTTATCTGTAGATTCAATGCAATCCCAATCTTGGAAAAGGAATTGCTGGATCAATGTGTATGATTTTGTTTTCATTTTGTTGGATGTGGTTGCCACATTGGCTTCCAGAGTCCATCCTACAGATTGCAAATTTCCTCATAGCATCAACATGTGTGATCAAGTTTTTTGAACGTTTGATAAACCTACAGCTGAAGACACTCTCGTTTAGGTATTCTGTAACAACTGGACAAGGTGGACACTCTGGTCATAAATTTATTGACCAGGATTTCTTCTGAGAATCATCTACTTGAGTTTCTTTGCTAATTTTTCTATTAGATTGTCATTTTCTTATCTATGGACAATTTGATAAGATTATTATGATTACCAGATCTTAATTCCAAAATATGTCACACTTTATCCCTGTGGTTTATCTTTTGACTTTAATAACATTTAAAATTTGTCTGTAGTCCAGTTTATCATTGTTTTCCTTTAGTGTTTCCAAGTTTATTGTGATACTTAGATCATAAAAACATTCACCGACTTTTTTCCAGTACATTTTTGGTTTCCTTTTTAAATGGAAATGTTTGACCCATCTGGAATTTATTTTGGGGTTAAGGAATGAGGAAGGGCACCAACTTCTATTTTTCCAAATGGCCCGCCAGTTGTCCTAATGCCATTCGACTGAAAAATCTTCCCGCATGTTTGAAGCCACCGCCCCACCAGCGCACTGGAAACCCGCGTGTCGGTCCCGCGGCCGCCGGCTTCCGTGTGACAGTCCCGAGCGCAGAGGGACCAGGCAGGACCCGCACGCGTCCAACCTGAACCTCCAGCTCAACCCTAGACCCACCCCCCGCGCCGAGGACGCAGCCCAGCCCGCCCTGCCCGGGCGTAGGTCCCAGTCCACCCGCACAGGCAGAGGACGCCCCCTTGACCCCGCCTCCTCCACCCTCTTCAACACCCTCCCCGCCCCTCTCCAGCCCCGCCTCTCCTCCCGGAGGCCGGTGAGGCTGAACAACGCTTTCGGAGAGAGTAATTTAAATAAAAGGCGCGTCCTATGCTGTTATTTGCATGGAGGCGGGGCTTCCGGAGCTGCCGAGACACCCAATCCTGTAGGAGCCCGGACCCTCCCCAGCTCTCCGATTGGCCCAGGTCGCGAGTCCCACGGAGAGGCCTCATTTGCATAGGGCGGGGCCACGTCCTCTTCCAGCCGGCGCCCGCCCGCCCACTTCCGCCAGTCTCACTGTGGCTTCCTTCCGTCTTCCTCCATATTTCCCTTTCCGTCCGTGCAGCGCTGCCGGCGGCTGTGGTCCCGATGCTCCCCAAACGGCGGCGAGCGCGGGTCGGGTCTCCTAGCGGCGATTCCGCTTGCTCCACGCTGCCTTCCACGTGCTTCCCCGGCGTCGCCATCTACCTGGTCGAGCCTCACATGGGTCGCAGCCGCCGGGCCTTCCTCACACGCCTGGCGCGCTCCAAAGGCTTCCGCGTCCTCGACTCCTGCAGGTGCGGGGCGGCGCGGCGCAGCGAGGTCTTCCGTGGGCAGCCGGGGCTTGGGAGGTCTGTGTTCAGGGTTCGGAGCCGCAGGAGATGACTTCGCTGCGACCCTGGCGTGAGGCTGGCCACTTTACTCTCGCCTGGCCCGGAAGGCCTCTTGGCCGCAGAGGGTGTTGAGATCGCAAATTGGAAATGACTTGCACCCAGCCGCCGGGGGCAGCGGCACCTGCGGTTTTGGATTTTTTTTTTTTTTTTTTTTTTTTTGAGACAGAGTTGCCCATGCTGGAGTGCAGTGGCGGGCTCTCGGCTCACTGCAACCTCCAGTTCCCGGTTCAAGCGATTCGCTTGCCTCAGCCTCCCGAGTAGCCGGGATTACAGGCATGCGCCTCACGCCAATCGGCTAATTTTGTGTTTTTAGTAGAGACGGAGTTTCTAACTCAGGCTGGTCTCGAACCCGTGACCTCAGGTGATCCGCCCGCCTTAGCCTCCCTAAGTGCTTCCCCAGCGTCTCACAGGCGTGTCACCGCGCCTCGCCTGGTTTGGATTTTAAGTTTGCTGTGGCACTTCGTGATGTGTGACCTTTCCCTGAGCCTCTATCTCCTCTTTTGTAGAGTGGTATTAATTAGGGCCAGGAGTGTTTTAAAGGATCACTTCGAGAATCAAAACCAGAGGTCAGGAGTAATTAATCAGCAGTTGTATTTGCTAACGGCCCTTCTACCTGGGCCAAGTCCCACCTGTGAGCGAGTCTACTCAGGAGACCCAGAGCCCTCAGGCTCCTCTGTCCTCAGGCCTGAGTAGGGAGGGAACCAAGAAGAGAAAAAATGGCGGCTACAGAGACAACACCCAGAGCAAGGGAGCTGGGGGTGGCCCCTAGTTTGGTGGTTGAGAGCGCAAACGAACCCGGGGTTAGTATACCCCTACAGTTGTGTTTGGTTTTTTAATGTTATCCGGGATGAGTTGTGCACCAGACCCACTTAGGAGAGGATGATGACTGCAGCTTAGTGTAGGAGGCACTATCTTTGTATCAAACAACCCCACGGGGTTAATATGTTATCTCTGCTTTTCAGAAGAGGAAATCAAAGTATTGATACGGGGCTTGCCCAAGAGCGAAACAAGTATGTGGCAGAGCTGGGGTTCAGACCCAGCCAGGCTCCTGCATCTCTGCTGAAACCCCTGCTCTTAGATGAAGACCACCTGGTCCTGACTCCTAAGGAATTCCTTTCTCTGAGGTGGAGAGGGAGGGAGAGAGCACAAGACTGGGCTGTGCTTGTGAGGGTAGCCAAGGCAGAGAACTACAGTTCTGAGGGCTGAGTGGCCATTGTGTTCATCTACCGGTAGGAGGGGCTGTTTGCAGGATGAATGGGCACTCACCATGCAAGAATGAAGCCTTGGAGCCAACCAGAGAGGGCTCTGGGCCTCACCCTCCTCCTCCTCCTCCTCCTCCTCCTCCTCCTCCTCCTCCTCCTCTTCTTCCTTTTTCCTTTTCTTCCTCTTCTCCCTTCCACCCTCCCTCCACTAGCTCCGAAGTGACACATGTTGTGATGGAACAGACCTCAGCAGAGGAGGCCATCAGCTGGCAGGAGCGCAGGATGTCAGCTGCTCCCCCGGGTTGCAGCCCCCGAGCTCTGCTGGACATAAGCTGGTTCACAGAGAGCCTGGCAGCTGGGCAGCCTGTACCTGTGGAGTGCCGGCACCGCCTGGAGGTGAGCTAAATGAGAAAGACTAGAGTTGGGGCTACAGTGAAAGCCCCAGTGTAGACCATTAACTCAGCTGGGACAGGTGACATTGCAGCACTGCCTCAATGTCCTTCAGAGGAGGTGGGCAGTGAGGACTCTACCCAGATCACCAGGGGCCACCTAGAAGCCAGAGGAGGAACCATAGCAGGAGCTGAGGGAGCCAGGCCATCCCAGCTTCTGTTCTCATTACTGGTGCAAATTCTGGGGTCCCCTTTTTTTTACCTTCTTGAGGCCTTTCTTCCTCACCAAGTAGATGACATGGCAACTCTGAGTAGGATGACCCGTGGATCAGCAGGAGCCTGTCCTCAGGATGCTGTAAGGCTCCTGGCCTCTGACAGATGTGGGCTCAGGGCCAGGTTACCTGTGTTTAAATCCTGGCCCACGCGGTGAGCCACAGTCATGGGACAAGCTCCCTAGCCTCCAAGGCCTCAGCATCCCGAGCCCGCTTGGTTGTGAGGATTGGGGTGATGGAGCACATGTGTCATGTGCAGCAGCAGGAGAAGTGCCCAAAGAGCTGGCAGATATGACAGCTGCTACCCTGCTGTGAGGAGCGCTGTCCACAGCCTGCTCTGCAGGGTGGCGCCTCCCTTGGCCCCATGCCTCTAGTTTTTTTGCCCACCTCTGTCCCTTGAGCTCCAGAGGGCCTGAGTTGGACACCCCAGGAGAAGCAAGGCCCGGGTACGTCCCGGCTCTCCTGCCAGCTCTGAAGCCTCACAGCAACCTGTTTATTGCACATCCCCAGGTGGCCAGGCCCGGGAAGGGGCCTCCGAGCCCAGCATGGATGCCTGCTTATGCCTGCCAGCGCCCCACGCCCGTCACACACCACAATACTAGCCTCACAGTGAGCTACTTCTGAGCCTTGGCCAGCCCTGGGGGTTGGGGACGAGGGTACAGATGGATGGTAGCTGGCTGGTTGGAGCTGCCCACCCTGCCCCTTACCTAGGGCCCCTCCCTGCAGGAGGCTCTGGAGACACTGGCGGAAGCAGCGGGCTTCGAAGGCAGTGAGGGCCGCCTCCTCGCCTTCTGCAGAGCAGCCTCAGTGCTCAAAGCCCTTCCCAGCCCCGTCACAACACTGAGCCAGCTGCAGGGGCTGCCCCAGCTTGGAGAACACTCCTCTAGGGTTGTCCAGGTAGGTGCTTGCCATCCTGAGCAGGGTGTGTGGGTGAGTGGGAGGCCTTGGGGCCTGGTGAGACAGCAGAGGGTGCTGTGGGGGCAGGTGGGGACAGACATGGGTGCTAACACTGCCCTAAGGCCTCCACAAGCCACCCTCTGTGCTCAGAATCCTCCTGTTCACATCAGCCATTTACCCCCTGGGTGGCTGAGAGGACCCAGTGAATGGCGCTGCAAGGGACCTGGCAGGGCTAGGGGTGACACTGTTGTCATTGTTAGGAGTCCCAAACTGCCCTCCACAGTGGAATGGAAGAGAGCACCCTGAGCGTGAGCATCCCTTTTGTTGAGTTGTCCTTTAGCGCACTTTCATCACAAAAATACACAGTGACAGAAAATGCTTTTAAATGAAGTAGTAATGAGTTCACATGCTTTGAAAAGCAGATATTTATGTGTTTTGGGACTTACTCAACTGAGAGATGATCTGTGTTACCTGGAATCTCAGCTGTTGTAACTTCAGGCCTGAAGGAGCCTTGAGGCTGGAGCCCCAGCCTCCCAGCTGTGTGGAAGCAACTGTGGTTGCCTCTCTGGCACAGTTTCCATTTCCAGGTCGCACTGGACCCTGACCCCACAAAGCTATCTCTGCAGGGTGTTGGAGGAGACTGCCTCCATCCTTGGGCCCCCAGCCCTGACCCTAACTCCCTGCCTTTCTCTTTCTCCCCACGCCCTTAGGCTTAGAGTTCTGCTTTGTTCCCTCCCCCAGGAGCTGCTGGAGCATGGAGTGTGTGAGGAGGTGGAGAGAGTTCGACACTCAGAGAGGTACCAGACCATGAAGGTGCGTGGGGCGGGGCTAGGACCTGCCCCGGGAATGACAGCGCCGTCCACACCATGTATGGGGAGGCAAGCTGGGGCAGCTGACCCAACCCAAGGGTCAGAGAAGGTCTTGCTGAGGAAGTGGCAGCTAAGCTGACACCTGATATGCACAAGGCAGCCAAGTAGAGACAGGCAAGGAAGAAGCTTGTTTTGAGGACAGAATTTTCTAGATCACTCAGCACCATCTGGCTTTTGGGGGTTTTGTGTTTTTTATTTTGTTTTTGAGACAGGGTCTCGCTCTGTTGCCTGGGCTGGAGTGCAGTGGTGTAATTACAGCTCACTGCAGCATCAACTTCCTGGGCTCAAACCATCCTCCCACTTCCATCTCTGGAGTAGCTGGGACTACAGGCATGTACCACCACACCAGACTAATGTTTTTAAAAAGAATTTCTCGTCAAGATGGGCTCTTCGTAATGTTGCCCAAGCTGGTAACAAACCTCCATGCTCAAATGATTCTCCTGCCTTGGCCCCCAGTATTGGGATTACAGGCGTGAGTCACTGCCATCTGCCTTGACTATTTCTGATGGAATGTTCTTAAGTAGATTACACACTGTGGCATCTTAGAGCACACTGAGCCAAATGTACCCTTTGCTTGGGTGCTGCCACTGAGTGTGCTGGCCTTGCCCTTGCCCGCCTGCTGCAGGCAGGACCTTGTGTGTGATTTGCTCAGTGTTGTCAGCCTGGCTGTCTCCAAGGCCACCTCCCCTCTGTTTCTGCTCACTCCTGATCTGATAGGAAATGCTGTCCGAGCTCTTCCAAATGCATTGGATGTGCCTGCTCTGACGCCCTTCTGCCAACTGGCTTTGTAGGCGGAGGTGTCACAGTGCTGGCCATATGGAGAACTGTCAGTGAAGTGTGGCTTCCTGGGTGGATGGGGCTATGGGAGGTCACACAGAATGTTGTCAGGATTGACAGGGAGGGCTTCAAAGAGGGGAGACTTGAGCAATGTGTGAAGGATAAATGGACTCAAATATGCAGGGAAAAGGGTAAGGGGCACTGGCAGGGACAGGGGACCAGATAAGCGTGACCACTGTGGTGAGTGCGGGAGTGAGGGGCCTGGAGAGGATGAGACACCCTTAAAGTGGAGGAAGTTAGTGAGTGCTTTCACTGTCAGCCCCAGACCGGAAGGCACCTCAGCTGCCAGAAAATTACATTAGTAATTAGAAGTTTATTGACAATATAATTGGGTTAATCTCATCATTTTTAGTCGGGATTCTGTGGGTTATGAGTGATAGTGACCCACCCCACACCCTTGGTTCACAGAATCACGGAAAGGAGGGTCCGCAGAACCCAGGATGGGAGGGCTGTGGCTGGTCTGCAGGAGAACTGGGCTCCGGACCTGGGTATCACCAGGCCGCTTCTCCTCCCCTCTGCCTCTCTGCACTGTGGCTTTACCCTCTCCTGCCGGGCACCAGCTTCCTCCACCAGCTGGAAATGTGGCTACAAGAGGTGCTGGTGCTCGGCTGCCACAGGCTACAGCGTCCACCACTGTGTGGGCCTGCTTGCAGTCTCAGATCCAGAATTCCTAGGGAGGGTCTCCTAGTGGCTGACCTGAAGCAGGTGACATGCTTGGCCTGGGGCCCACCCTGTGTGGGAAGATGTGTGAGTACCCCAGCCAGCCCCGCCAGCCCCACTCCTAAATCCACCCTTTTGATTGTTAACTCCTCATTGTTTTTTGCTGTTTGCTAAGGGGAACCACAAAAATTTATTCAAGCTGCTGTTAGGTGGGAAAGGCATGGTTTTTCCAGTGACTTAGGAGCTGCTTGCGCTGATGTGTTAGGGTGATGTGTTTTGGTTATGTTGGAATCACAGGCTAGAGCTGCGTAAGGCCTGGGGAGAGACCTTTCATAGAGGAGAGCAGAGGGGTGTGTGTGGGTTTGCTCCCCGAGACAGCAGACTGGGTAGCCAGGCTCCAGGTTTGAATCCTTGCCCTGTGGTCTAGGGCAGGTTGTGAGTGGGGACAGCGCCTGCCTGGTGCATGGTGGCTCCATGGGACACAGCATCCCGGAGCTGGTGGTCATCCAAGTGCAGCCATGAGAGCTCTGCCTGACCAGGCTGTGCTCCTTTCCCTACAGCTCTTCACCCAGGTCTTCGGGGTCGGTGTGAGGACTGCTGACCGGTGGTACCGGGAAGGACTGCGAACCCTGGATGACCTCCAAGAGCAGCCCCAGAAACTGACCCAACAGCAGAAAGTGGGTGAGCCCTCCAGAGAGCCTGGGCCCTGGGCTTCCCCAAACTGCATCCTGGATCCCTCAGCACTGACTCCCTAGAAGCAAGAGAGCAGGCTGGTGCAAAGGGCTTGATGGCAGCCTTGTGTGGTAGGTTTCCTGGGGTCTCCAGGAAGTACAGTCAGGACCTAGCACAACCCTTTCTCAATGGATGATGCTGACCACAGCAACTGCCATGGCATGCCAGGGGCTTGTGTCACTACATTACCTACTGGTTAGACTTTGCACCGGGGACAGCCTGGGCCTTGGGCACCCTGCCCGGTGTGGTGCCTGGTACACAGAGGCCTGCAGAGGTGGCACCATGCAGGGGAAAGAACATCAGCTTTCGAGTTTTCGGGTTTGAGTCCTGTCTACCTTTTACCAGATAGGTGACCATTACCCAAGACTTAACCTCTCTGAGTATGTTACATTTTCTGTAAAATGGAGAAGACAGGCTGGGCACGGTGACTCACACCTGTAATCCCAGCACTTAGGGAGGTTGAGGTGGGTGGATCACTTGAGCTCAGGAGTTCAAGACCAGTCTGGGCAACATGGTAAAACCCCATGTGTACAAGAAATCCAAGAGCTAGCCAGGCATAACGGTGGATTCTTGTAGTACTAGCAACTCATGAGGCCAAAGTACAAGGATCACTTGAGCCACGGAGGTCAAGCCTTGAGGCCAAGGTGGAAGTTGCAATGAGCTGAGATCGAACCACTGCATTCCAGCCTGAGCAACAGAGCAAGATCCTATCTCAAAAAAAACAAGTGGGAAGTGACAGCATGGAATTCATAAGCTCCCCTGAGAGAGTTAGCAAGTGGCAGGTGTTTAGCAGATACTCTGCTTTCTCTGCATGGCCTGTCTGGCTACTCTGGTCACACCATCTGAGACCTCCCTCGGGTTGAGGGGTCTGCTGAAGCAATCCCACAGCCCAGCAGGCACTGCCAGCTCCACTGCCTCTTCACAGATCTCCCCCTGGGCCACTGCCCAGTTCAGCTGACAGGAAGTGAGATCTGCAGAGCTGGTTCCTCTTGATCGCCTCTCCCTGCAACAAGAGTAGTCAGGGATGGCTAGCAGCGTTTACGGAGGGCTCACTGTGCCAGGTGCTGCTGTGCCTCACATTTAAACCTTTCCTTGGCCAGGCGCTGTGGCTTATACCTTTACATAATCCCAGCACTTTGGGAGGCTGAGGCAGATGGATCACCCAAGGTCAGGAGTTCAAGACCAGCCCGACCAACATGGTGAAACCCCATCTCTACTAAAAATACAAAAATTAGCTGTGTGTGGTGCGGGAAACTGTGATCCCAGCTACTCTAGAGGCTGAGGCAGGAGAATCGCTTGAACCTGGGAGGTGGAGATTGCAGTGAGCCAGGATTGTGTCACCGCACTCCAGCCTGGGCAACAAGAGTGAGACTCCGTCATAAACAAACAAACGTTTCCTTAACTGGATGTGGGAGCCTAATAGGTAAGGAGACAGAAGTAGGCCAGAGTGAGGTGTTCACAGTGGCAGAGCCATCTTCCATCTTTTTACCACCTCTTGGTCCCACTTTATGCACTAGAAAACTGAGGCATCAAAAGAGATAGCCTGTGTCATGACTGTATCAACATCAGTATCCTTATATTTGGCTGCAAAATTATAGCTTTGCAAGGTGTTACGTTTTGGGGAGCTGAGTAAAAGGCACATGGGATCTCCTTGTGCTATTTATTTTCTTTCTTTCTTTTTTTTTTTAAAGAGACAGGGTTTCACTATGTTGCCCAGCTTGTCTCAAACTCCTGAGCACAGGTGATCCTCCTGCCTTAGCCTCCTGTGTAGCTGGGATTACAGGCATGAGCCACTGCACCCAGCTTCCCTGTGCTATTTCTTTTAACTGCAAGTGAATCTACAACTATCTTAAAATAAAAGTTTAATATTTAAAGGGGGAGAGAAAATAGTATCATGCTTAGATTGGGATCTCATTCTGTTCCCTGCCCTAGCCCTCTCCCAGTCCTGCAGCCCCAGGGTGACCACCTCAAGCTGGTGAGGGATGGGGGCCTGGCGTGGTGGATGGGCTGGGTGAGTCAGAAGGGCCGGTGCTGCCCCCAGGGCTCCAGCACCACCAGGACCTGAGCACCCCAGTCCTGCGGTCCGATGTAGATGCCCTGCAGCAGGCGGTGGAAGAAGCTGTGGCGCAGGCCATGCCTGGGGCCACCGTCACACTGACAGGCGGCTTCCGCAGGTAAGGAGGCCGGATGAGCCCCTCTGGCTTGGCTTCAGACCCCTCCCCTGTGAAGGGACCTGAGTCGGGGACCCTGAAGCAGGCCTTCCCACTCATTGGAAGGGTTGGAGTGAGCAAGCTGTGTCCCTGAGTCAGAGTCAGTCTGGCCCCCTCAGGGGGAAGTTGCAGGGCCATGACGTGGACTTCCTCATCACCCACCCCAAGGAGGGCCAGGAGGCGGGGCTGCTGCCCAGAGTGATGCACCGCCTGCAGGACCAGGTGAGGGCCTCCCTGCTCCCCAGGAGCCACTGCCGGCCAATGCCACCGCTTCCTGCTCTCTCTATGCCACAGGGTGGTCCCAGCCACACCTACCTCTCCCCACAGGGCCTCATCCTGTACCACCAGCACCATCATAGCCACTGGGAGTCCCCTACCCGCCTGGCCCAGCAGAGCCACATGGATGCTTTCGAGAGGAGTTTCTGCATTTTCCGCCTACCACAAGCTCCAGGGGCTGCAGCGGGGGGAACCCCGAGGTCCTGCCCATCCTGGAAGGCTGTGAGGGTGGACTTGGTGGTCGTACCCATCAGCCAGTTCCCTTTCGCCCTGCTCGGCTGGACTGGCTCCAAAGTAGGCAGTGTGTTGCTGGGCCACCTTGTGGGGCGGGCCCAGGCCAGCCCTACTGAGGACAGTCCCTTTCCTGCAGCTTTTCCAGCGGGAGCTGCGCCGCTTCAGCCGGAAGGAGAAGGGCCTGTGGCTGAATAGCCATGGGCTGTTTGACCCAGAGCAGGTACATCATTGGGGACTGGGGACAGGAAACAGCACCCATAGTCTGCTCCGTGACCCACAATCTGAAATGGCCCCATACCCCACCTTGGTGCTGGGCTTTGCTTCCGCTCCAGCCTTCCTCCGGGAAAGCAGTCCTGGCCTGACTCCTAGGTCACAGAAGTCCTGCTTCTGTTGCAGAAGACGTTTTTCCATGCATCGTCAGAAGAAGACATCTTCAGACACCTGGGCCTTGAGTACCTTCCTCCAGAGCAGAGAAACGCCTGAGCCTGTGGCCCCCTTTCTGTTCAGGAAATTGGGCCACCCCCAACTTGGCCACTGAATGTCTCCAGGCAGATATGTTGCCCCTGACCCCCACCTTCACCCCTCCCACGTGGAGGAGCCCGTCCCCACCAGGGCCTGGCTCTGCCAGAGGTCAGCTGTGCCTGAGGGAATCAGTTGAGCCCCTGCTGGCGTACTGCAGCGGGGAGCTTTTGGTGCCAGCCTCATTGCTGCATGACCTTGGGTCTGCTCCTAGCCTCCCCGTGGTTCACGCTCCCGCCCTGGACAGGGTGTGTGAGCGGGCCCCACTTCGTGGAGCCTTGGCAGGGCCTGTATTCATGAATGGCAAGTGGTTTGTTTGCCTGATGTGCAGTGTCCCATCAGTTGCACTGCAGTTACTGTGGCTCCTGTAGGGCACCCTGTCCAGAAGTTCCCGGAAGAGAACCATGTGTCCCTGCGCTGCGTTTGAGCCATGACGTGGAGGCTGTGGTTCTTGCCCACAAGGAGCATACTGTGGAGTGTGCTGTAGGCATCTGGACAGGGAGAGGGCCGGGGTAGGAGTTAGGAGGAAGAGAATTTTCAACTCTTAAGCCTTCAGTACTGTAGTGCCCAAGCCAGGCCCTTGGCTTCTGCCTTTAAGGCCTGTTCTCAGCACGATCTCAAAAATAGGTCATCTCCTGCCACTCCTGGCTCATTGCCCTTTAATGGCTCCAAACCCTAAGTCTGCACGTGGCCCCGAGCTCTGGCATTTCTGCCAGCCCCTTTCTCCAGCCCCACTGGCCCCGAGCCGCTTCCTGCCTCACAGGCTTCCTGTTTGATGCACCCAGATTCCTTCCCCTTCTCACTGCAGAAGCACTGAGGTGGGCTGGACATGGGTATCCTCCATGTCCCTCACATCCCCAGGCACGATCTGGCCTCAGGCTTTGCCCTGGCCATGCCATCCACCTGGAGTGTGCCCTCCCCTTCTTAAGGCCTTTAATCAGAAGTCACTTTGTTGGGTGAGGACTTCCCAGACCACTCATTACATTAAAAAATATTTTTAAAATGAACGTGCAGGAAGGTTGACTCTTTTGGGGTGCAGTTTTGCATGTGTGGGACCACACCAGGTCCATCCCCAGAACACTTCTCTAACTGTCCTATTGTATAGTCACATGGTTCTCCACCCCCACCCACTTAGCGGCTCTCCATCCCTATAGTTTTGCTTTCTCCAGAATGTCGTGTAAGTGGAACCAAACTATATTTAACCTTTGGAGTGGCCTCTCCACAGCCTAATGCCTTTGACATTCCTGCAGTTTGCTGGGTGTATTGATAGTTTGTACTTTATTCCATGCCATGGGTGTTACACAGTTTAGCCATTCAACTATTGAATGGGTTGTGGCTGGGCATCGTGGCTCATGCCTGTAATCCCAGCACTTTGGGAGGCTGAGGCAGGTGGATCACTTGAGGCCAGGAGTTTGAGACCAACCTGGCCAACATGGCGAAACTCTGTCTTTACAGAAAATATAAAAATTAGCTGGGCATGTTGGCTCACACCTGTATTGCCAGCTGCTCCGGAGGCTGAAGCATAAGAATTGCTTGAACCTTGTTGCCAAGGTTGCAGTGAGCTGAGATCGTGCCACTGCACTCCAGCCTGGGTGATGGAGACTCTGCCTAAAAAGAAAAAAGAATATCTGGGTTGTTTCCAGGATTTGGAGATTATGAATCATACTTCTATAGACATGCAGGTACAGGTTTCTGTGTAACACATAAGTCTTCATTTCTCTTGGGTAATAGCCAGACACAGGATTATTGGGTCATTTGGTAAGTACATGTTTATTTCATAAGAGCAAAGTTGTTCTCCAGAGTGCCTGTCATTTTGCAGTCCACCAGCAATGTGAGCACCCCTGTAAGTACTTCAGAGTAGGCAGTTGCTCTGTATCCCTGCCAGCACTTGATAGTTTCAGAATTAACTGTTAACTTTAGCTTTTCTAGTAGGTACATAGCAGTAAGTTCAGTGTGGTTTTATTTTGCATTTCCCTAATGCCTGACAATGTTGAGCATCTGTTCACAGGTTTCTACATCCTCACTGGTGAAGTGTCTGTTCAACTTTTTGTTGTTGTTGTTGAGACAGAGTTTTGCTCTTGTTGCCCAAGCTGGAGTGCACCTACCAGCCTTGGGGGTCCTGGCAGCCCACAGGATTCTGCCCACTGGGACTTGTGTGCCAACCTTTGTGAAGCCTCAGAATCACAGGCCTCAAGCCATGAGCCCCACCCCAGATAGGCCAGCAGGGATGGATGGAGGCATGTAGAGGGTTTCTTGCATGCTCAGATCCAAGTCTCAGAGTGGTGGTCCCTCTGCTGGCCTCCCACCCACCCTCTCCTGCTATCACAAGTGTGGCAGGTGATAGTGTGATCACTGGGGTGGGGTGGGAGGAAGTGGAAGGCCCTGGATAGGGCCCATTGCCTAAGGGTCTGGCAAAGACCCCTTCATTAGGGTCCCAACTGTGACTTTATTGCTAATGGTCTCTTCCCCGCCCCAGTGGCCCTCATTCCCCAAACCTGAATGCAGAAATCTTGGTCCTGAATTAAACTCTATGCCACCCCTCAGCTTATGTTGTGGGTTCCTGCTAAGCTGAGCACTTACCTAACAATCAAGACCTCTGATAGTCCTCAGTCCTACCCCACAACCCCCTTGGATTTCTTTTTTTCAAGGTGGTTTCAGCTAGGAGGGTCAGTGTGGCCTTGGTGAGGGCAGACAGGGTAGGAGCATGTTGCAGGTATGGATGACACCTTGACAAAGGGACCCCACAGTAGAGATTGGGACCCTTTCCCCTCATTATCCTGGAAACCCAGCTCAGCCCCAGCCCTTGCCCATGCTGCTGCCTGGTACCTTCCACAAGGCCAGACCCCTCCCCACAAAGCTGTGGCCTGCACCAGCTCCCCTGGCTTTCCTCCTCTTTCTGCTGAGGGGCCCCTCCCAGCCTGGTTGCCAGTCACAGGAGAAAGTGGTTGGGATTTTGTTTGTGCCTCTGCCTGAGCAGAGAAGGGCTGATGGGGCCACTGAGCCTTGCCCTGGAGAGCCCCTCTGTCCCTGCTGCCCCCACCTCCCCTGGCCGACTTCTGCCCTTCATGCCTATCCCTGAGCAGCAGCCCTACCCAGGCTGGGCTGTGGGTGCCAGCTGGTTATGGACATGCCACCTGAGCCCAAGCCAGGAGCCCCTGGATTCATGAGGCTATTTTAAGCACAGCTTCTTGGCCTGCACTCCCCTGGCCCCCAGCAGCTCAGCTACTGGTCATCTGCCACCTCCTAGAATGCTGATTGGCAGTTGGCTGGGGTGGGGGCTGGGAAAACACTGTTATAAAGCTGGGAGTGTTGGGGAACAGCCGTCCCTGTCCAGAGTCGTCTGTGGTCCCTGCTGCCACCATGGCCACCCACCGCCTCGTGATGGTCCGGCACGGTGAGAGTACATGGAATCAGGAGAACCGTTTCTGTGGCTGGTTCGATGCAGAGCTGAGTGAGAAGGGGGCTGAGGAGGCCAAGCGGGGAGCCAAGGCCATCAAGGACGCCAAGATAGAGTTTGACATCTGCTACACGTCAGTGCTGAAGCGGGCCATCCGCACCCTCTGGGCCATCCTGGACATCACGGACCAGATGTGGCTGCCTGTGGTGCGCACTTGGCGCCTCAATGAGCGGCACTACGGGGGCCTCACGGGCCTCAACAAGGCGGAAACAGCTGCCAAGCACGGAGAAGAGCAGGTGAAGATCTGGAGGCGCTCCTTCGACATCCCGCCGCCCCCCATGGATGACAAACACCCCTACTACAACGCCATTAGCAAGGTAGGCTGCCTCCACTGGGAAGGCCTCTGGGAGGCTGTGGGGTGGGGAGTCGGGCAGGGGTCCGCTGTCTTGGGAGGGAAAGCAGTGTGCCTGTGTCCTCCAGGAGCGTCGGTATGCAGGCTTGAAGCCTGGGGAACTACCCACCTGCGAAAGCCTCAAGGACACCATTGCCCGGGCCCTGCCCTTCTGGAACGAGGAGATCGTTCCCCAGATCAAGGCCGGCAAGCGAGTGCTCATCGCAGCCCATGGGAACAGTCTGCGGGGCATCGTCAAGCACCTGGAAGGTGAGGCCGCCCTTGGGAACCCAGGTAGGGCGGGTAGGCGGCAGCCCTGGCTGGCTTCTCATCTCAGCAAGTGCTCCTGCTGGCCCAGGCCACTATCTAGGCATAGGGTTCCACACTGTTCACTGAAAAGGGAGAGCTGAGGAGCCATTTTTTAGTTCTGTGAAACCTTCCTCATTTCTGTGTAACTGGGACATAATCCACAGGGGTTGACTGCACTTGAAACTAGCTGTATCCGAAGGCAGGCAGGCTCCAAAGGTGGCATCTGCCCAGGGCCAGCCAGCCAGGAAATGGAGGGGCTGGGCTCAGTGCATCTGGCTCCAAATCCCAACTTTCCGTGGGGCCCTGGACAAGCCACTTCCGTCTCTGGGCCTCTGCCTTTTCTGGGGTGGCAGGGAGCTCCCAGGGCTCCCCCTGGTACTGCCTCCTGATGTAGGTTTGAACCCCTTGCAGGGCCCTCCCCCATCAGGTCCTCAGAATTCCTGCATGAGCCCCACCACCCATCTCCCTCTGGACTTCCTCTCTGGGCAAAGGAAGGACCAATCAAAAGCAGGGTGCGAGACTTTGGAGTGGCCAGACTCCAGGCGTAGAGCTGGGGCTCCCACTGAAGAGCAAGGGACAAATGGGCCCAGGATGTATGGGTATAGGGTGGCCTCGCCCACAGTGACAGGCCCCTCCACTCCACCTCCCACCTTAATATTCTCAAACAGCAGGGCAGACTAAATTAGCATCTTAATGCCCTTCAAGCTTGTTGAGTCCTGGAAAGGCTAGAAGGGTGTACCCCAAACCTTCTGCTCCTGGGGCCAATGGGCAGCTGACCAGGGCACCCAGATCGGCAGGTCCTGGAGACCGGGCCAGCCCCAAGCCTGCCTGTTCCACACATGGACACCTGGCACCTAGCACTGGAGCCAGGCAGAGGGAAGGACCAACTGCCTCCTCTCCCTTTTGGGGGCTTCATGCAGCCCGATGGCCCTCCCACAGCTTGGTATTTTGGTGGTGAATGTGAAGGGATTTCAGTGGAGTGGAGGAGCCGGACTCCCCAGAGAACATTCTCTTAAACCCTCCTGCACAGAGCGGGGGGTGGAGAGGTTCGAATACCAAAGGTCGAGCTGCTATTCCCAGCTCGGGGGCTGCAGGAGGCAGGCAGGGTCGGGTTTCGGACCAGGCACTGCCTCCCTCTCCCTTCTCCAGCTCCACTGGGCACTTGCTCCTCTGTTCAGGATGTCTAGAATTTAGAGCACTTTAGAAACTAAAGGGGGAATATTCTTCCTGACCCTCAACTTTAGTCTGGCTGGAGTCACACTGGGCTGAGGGGACTGTGGACAGCACCATCACAGGTCACAGCCACTTGGGTGGGACTAGTCACCATTTCTTTCGCCACTGGGCTATTTCTGTAGGCTGCTTGGTCTAACTCAGTTACGCGTTGACCTTTAGGGACACTTCTGTGGCCTTGCTCTCAGGGCTGGGAGGGTTGGTGCCAGGGGAACTGGCTCTGTGGCCCATAAATGTCACACAGTGTCTGCTGTGTGAACAGGCTGGGTACAGAGGGGCTAAGGACACCTGTTCCTCCGGCACAGGGATGTCAGACCAGGCGATCATGGAGCTGAACCTGCCCACAGGGATCCCCATTGTGTATGAGCTGAACAACGAGCTGAAGCCCACCAAGCCCATGCAGTTCCTGGGTGACGAGGAAACGGTGCGGAAGGCCATGGAGGCTGTGGCTGCCCAGGGCAAGGCCAAGTGAGGGGTGGGCCTGGGCAATAAAGGCACCTCCTCCCAGTCTGGAGTACAGTGCAGCCGGGCACGCCAGGCTCACCCACTATCAGCTGTGGGGACTCCAGAACAAGGGGTGCAGCCATCCACCCTCCCCCACTCCATGCCTGTGTCACCAGGGGCATGAGCCTAGTTAGTACCCACTCCTAGTCATCAGGACACTGAGCCAGGGCTGCAACCACTCCA